GAAATACAAAGTAAATACTTCTAAACTTCAGTAAGTATTAGGCCTGGGCAAAAAAATCGGAACCGAAAAATCGAACCGGAACCGAACCGAAATACCCGGAACCAAACCGAAAAGCTTAAATATCCGAATGGTTCTTATATTTCTATACCCGGAAAACCGAACCGAAACAGGAACTGAACCGAGAACCGAATGAATACCCGAATATCCGAAAAAAATAAGTTAAAGTTTTTTAAAATAAGATAAAATGACATCAAACACACTTAAACCCATGTTAGATACAAAGAGTAAGTACAATTTTACTACCAGACGACGTTATGTTTTATTTATTCTGTTATATTATAAATATATATGGTATTGTTATATTAAAATATGATAAACATTTATAAAATTAACACTTTATTGATTCGAATTCTTGTTGGGTTGACTAATATGTAAGCGTGTAAACACTAAACCATTTAAATTAACATATTAACTAATATATTCTGTATATTTATATTTGATCTATATATTAAATGGGTATCCGGAACTGAACCGAAACCGAACCGAAACGAACCGAAATCTCATAAGTACCTATTGGATATAAGAATGATTTATCTAATATACCCGGAACCGAATGGTTCCTATCCGGAACCGAACCGAATGCCCAGGCCTAGTAAGTATAGTAGTGCAGCAGTTTTTACATACTCCTATCCCAAAATTTATGATGGAGTTTTTAATGTTTCAAAATGTATAATGTTTTTATACTCTATATTAACCAGTTATGTTTATAAATTTTGTGATGAATGGTTAAATTACTTTTAATTTATATTTTCTATGCTACTTTTTAGTAAAAAGTGTAAATCTGAAGTGTCTTTAACCAAAAGATCATATAATTTGAAACAGAGAATATTTGCTAGAGTGATAAACTAGAAACATAACATATTCTCTTAAAAGGAAAAAGAAAAACAAAATGAAAGCCGCTGGGGGGATCTTATGTTATTAGTCGATCAAGACCCTATTGGTTGAGGTCTTTGAAAACGGGGCTGTCTAGAGCAACACCCATTGAATTCAAACCATTGTCCACATAAATGGTTGCACCAGTTATGGCAGAGGCCAATGGAGATGCCAAGAAGGCTGCTGCATTCCCAACTTCATCTGCATCATTCCCATTTTTTAAAAATTTCCAAGAAAATTGAAAGCCAACAAGAAAATGCTGTATCGAAGGAAAATGAACCTGCGGTCAGTGTTTTCTGAATAGGCGCGTTATTGTATGAATACTCGATCATTGTGTCTATGAACCCAATTGCCTTTGCTGCTCGGCTTCCCAAAGGACCTGAAGACCAAAACAAGAGTACTCTTTTTTTATCATCATTAAGCCTCAGTGTACATATGAGTATGCTCGTTAGAGTGAAAGATGAATCACCTGCCGAGATAGTGTTGACCCTAATGTTTTGTTTCCTCCCAGCTTCAAATGCAAGCACCCTTGTATCACTCTCTAGTGCGGATTTGGCAGAGCTCATACCTCCACCGTACCTAAAACAGAAATAAAGAGATGCTTGTAAGAAACAAAACAATGTGTACAAGAGAACGTCTGACCAATGTTGTGAAGAAGCAGTGAAGCTAGCATAACCCTTACCCGGGAATGATCCTTTCAGAGGCAATGTAAGTAAGAGAAATAGAAGCACCTCCTAAATCATCATAGAGAAACAAATTAAAAAAAAAAGAACAACAAAATTATAAAGAATAAAAGGCATACAAAGTTTGTTACATGCCTGGATTCATAATTGGCAGAAAATGCCTGAGGAGGGAAACAAAGGAGTAACTCGAAGCAGAGATAGCAGCAAGGTAACCTTTCCTCGATGTCTCCAGAAGAGGTTTGCTAACCTAAATATCATAAGATCCCATTAAGCAAAAAAATAGTATTGTACCGAATACAGTTCTTGTAAACAGTTTCAGATAGGGCCACTTTGAGTTCTTGCCTCTGGTCCATTTGCAAGTGAGTGGACAAGAATGTCAATGCTTCCAAAATCTTTTCTCACACATTCTGCAGCTTCCTGATTTAAATAAACAAAGAAACCGAATGATTCAACAAGCCGCAATCATTAAGAAGATTAACAAAACACCTCTTTCATCTTATACCTGTACAGTCCAGTTTGATGATCCAGCATACCGCTTATTCGTTTTTACCTGAAAAAAAAATGTATCATACCATACAGTTGAGAAACTAATTTGGATACTAAGCGTTTAATATGTTGCGAAAGCTGTAAGCTTGTATCTTTCTTACATCTTCAGGCACATCTTCAGGATTGTCAAACACAGCATCCAAAGGATAAACCTTTTTAATCTCCATCAGTGATCCATCTGGCAACCTGAATTTAGATAGATGAGTGGAAAATAAACGTCACATAATAAAAAAACAAGACATTCATCAGTTTTGTATGTCCCTTACACGCGTGACTGATCGAATTTTCCACGTCTCAAGCTCGTCTCAAAAATGTTAAGCGCCTAGTAGACCATTCAAAAGGTCAGTACAAAATAAGCAATGAGGAAACTAAAAGTAGTTAACAAAAAAAAACTTACAGGAACCCATGTCCCAACCAATATTTCAGCCCCAGCAGCAGCAAGAGATTTGGCTATGGCCCAACCATATCCATTATCATCAGCAATACCAGCAATAAAAGCCCTTTTCCCTGTAACCATTTTTAATCATTGCTTTAGTTGCAGGGCCGGTCCTAGACAAAGCCTAATGAAACATTGGCCTTAGACCTCCAAAACTTTTAAAGAAAATTACATAGACATAGGTCCAAAAATCATTTTCAGGCCACCAAATTTGTAAAGAGAAAAATCTCAATTGAAATATTTAATAAATCGCCTATGGCGCACTAAATCTCAGGGCCTTAGCATCTTAGGCTGTTAGTAATGATTAAAGATATGAGTAGAAAGGAAGATAGGTCAACCTCTCAAATCAATAGGAAGTCCAGAAGAAGAAACCTTGCTTTCACTGGACTCAGACATGGCCTTTGTGGAAAAGGAAAAGTTTTTTTTGCAAGTTGGAACAGAACTCAAACATCCGAGGTTGGATAAGTGGTGAGTGGAAGTGAGCTTATTATCCCATGATGCGTTCCCGGGATTGACACCGACAGTGAAGGTCATTGCTTTAACAACTTTGCTAGAGGCAGCAGAAATGGTTGGCCTTGTTGTAGCGAATTGTAAGCTTGAAGCTGCTGTTGCCGCCATCCTCGCAATATTCAAATATTTTCTATGCAAAAAATGTCAAGAATCGAAAGTTGTCTTAGCATGTAAAGAAGCTTTGTTTCTGATGATTTGGTTTCGAATAAGTACACAAAAATCAATTTTATAATCCGCACAAAATGTAGATCGACACGGACATTGGACAAATCTCAATGTATTTTTCAAATGACTTGATTTATAATACGCAAATATTTTCTGTGCAGAAAAATGTCAGAACAATGAGCTTTCTAATGATTTGGACAAAATGTAGATCGATACGGACATTGGAGAAATCTCAATGTACAGAACTGAAAAAGTCACAGAAACACATCTGCATTTTTTTAACGATTTGTTTTATAATTCGCAAACCATTTTTTCACATTGACAAAACAAAAACCAATGGCACAAGTTCTGATTTTTCGCAGCTTAACGTCAGAGAAAACTCAATCGGCTAAGATATTTAAAACCACAAAACACATCTGCATTTTTTACATAGAACTCATCAAACAAACAGAGAATTAAAGGGATAGAAGGAGAGATACCTGATAGAGCCTAGAGAGAGGAAAGAGGAGAGAGGAGAGCAGGTTTGTTTGGTGTGAAGTGGTATGTAAAAGAGGAGGGGGTTCGATGAGATCGAGGTGTGTCTGGCGAAGTTCAGTGAGAAGTTTTTGTCTTAGATATACCGACCGGTTTCGTTAAAACCGGAAATTGAAGGTTAACCGTAACCTCTTTCGGATTTTTTTTTTTAATTTTGGGACGATTACACACTTTTGATTTCGGCCTTATTGTTTGGGGAAAATTCCTTAAAAATACACGGACTCTGAAAATCTTTTGCTAAAAAATTACACAAATTTTTTTAGACTTTCCGAAAAATACACAGACTTATTTTGATTGTCCATAAAATACATGAACTTTTGAATTTTGTAGGTTTCACACCTCAATTTTAACGACGTTAACTCTGATTAATAGAACATTTAGACGCCATTAGACGACGTTAACTCTGATTCAAAAGTCCATGTATTTTATGGACAACCAAAATTAGTCTGTGAATTTTTTGGGAAACCCAAAAAGTTCGTGAATTTTTCCAGCAAAGAAAATTTAGTATGTGTAACTTTAAGGAATTTTCAAAATATACTAAGGTGACAAAGACATTGTTTTTATTGTTTGAATGAAAAATGTAATTTTGAATATATTTTGTTCATGTTGAGGCCGGTTCTTTTAGGGTTGATTCGGGTCTTTAATCAAAATACGTGTAAAATACCGGTAATTTTCGGATATGAATCTTGTGATAGAGAATGTGTTTTTGTTCAAGTTTTGGGTCGGGTTTGGGCCGGTTCTTTTCGGATCCAGCTTTTTTCGGATCTAAGATATTCGGATCTAAGACCCGGTCCAAACCCGATCCAAAGACCTGAACAAAAACACATTCTCTATTACATGATACAGATCCAAAAATTACCCATATTTTACACGTATTTTAATTATAGATCTGAACCGACTCCAAAAAAACGGTCTCAACATGAACAAAATATATTCAAACATTACATTTTTCATTCAAACAAAAAAAACAATGTTTTGTCACTTTAGTATATTCTTGAAAATTCCTTAAAAATACACATACTAAATTTTCTTTGCTGGAAAAATTCATGAACTTTTTGGGTTTCCCAAAAAATACACAAACTAATTTTGGTTGTCCATAAAATACATGGACTTTTGAATCAGAGTTAACGTCGTCTAACGGCGTCTAAATGTTCTGTTAGTCAGAGTTAACGTCGTTAAAATTTAGGTGTGAAACCTACAAAATTCAAAATTTCATGTATTTTATGGACAACCAAAATTAGTTTGTGTATTTTTTGGAAAGTCTAAAAAGTTGGTGTATTTTTTTAGCAAAAGAAATTCAATCTGTGTATTTTTAAGGAATTTTTCCTATTGTTTGAGTACTTTTAGTTTTTGTTTTTTCAGATTTTGGTTTTTAATGATCAAATCATTGTTTTAGTTTTTGATTACCTTTTATTCTGAATTTTAGGTTTCTAATTTTTCTAGTTTAGTTTTAAAACTTTTAAATTATTTGTTGTAGTTTTTTTTTAGTTTTACAAAAAAATAAGTATTTTTAAATAATATAATAAGAACACTGCTATAACATGTAAAAGTTTAATTCTTGGTTCCATTAAAATATATTAAAATATTTTTTTCCTTTTTTAAAGTATATACCTATATATACTATTATTGAGAAGTAAATTTGCTTAGTTGTCATATTCTCGATGATTTTAGGTAATTTTTTTATTTGTCATGTTTTTAATAATTTCTATATATAATTTATTATATAATTAAAATAAACTTATAATAATAATATTATATTTTTTATAAAATAAAGTAGTTCTTATGTATTATTTTGTTATCTTGAAAACTAGTGGTTTTTCCGCGCTACGCGCGGGATGTAATATTTTGTTTATATGTATGTGGTGTGTAAGAGTATTTTGCTTTAGTTTCAGACATTTTAAATGTGTACTAAATGCTTGGTTGATGTTCGAGATTTATTTAAATAGTTATGTAATTTTTGGTGGCTAGTATAATTTGATGTAAATCACGAATGATTTATGTCTTGTTAGATGTTGGTATTGAAAGGCATGAAATGTTTGCACTAGTTTATATTTTTGTATATTTGTTTGAGACCATTATAACAGTTTTGTTATTTAATTAGTTTATTGAGTTCTATAAAGTACAAAATATTATTTCATTATTTTCTTCTATATGGTGTTGCACCTTCCGTTGGTGTAATTCGATCTAATTTTTTGTTAATCTAATCATAATTACATGGGGGGGGGGGTAAGTTCTAGATTTGGGTTATATAATTGTGCTATATACAAATGTGGATGTTTATAAGACTTTTTTTTTTGTTTGGACATGTTATGTGAGACTGTTAGGACATTTTGTTAATGTACATGTCAAGTAACTTACTAATTTGTTATCAGCTGATTTTGAGAGTTTTTGGTTTTGGTTTTGTATTTCATGGAGTAGATGTCTAGCTGTGTGGTGGCGAGTTATGTAATGATGCTATGAATATTTTGTGTCAAATATTTATCTTTTATCTTTGAACTATGAAATTATATTAACAATGGTATGTAACTAATATATGTGTATCAATGTATGTACATGATTGTTGTGAGAGCCAATAATTTCTTTTGAATCAAAGTCAAAGTAAAGAAGTACACGTAAACCACGTAAATATGTACCAAAATATCTTTATATGAAAATAGATTTCATCACGTGCTTGTAATAATAACATTTGATGCAAATGTAGTCGAGATTTTTAATGTGTCATTTAGGTGGGAATTTGTTGTCATGAAACTTGTTTGTGATTGTTGTTGTAATCTCAATAACTTGGCACATGCATGCGGGTTCAATTAGTTTGGCTTATTCGGCTCGGATTCTTTTTTTTGAATTATACAGGGGTATCCTGGTCCCAAAGAAGTAGTACAGACTAGTCATGTATTTCCACGTGTCAGGTCCTATATTCCTGGCAATACCAAAATGTTAATTTTCCAGTGGCCAGGACTCAAACCCTAGTGGCTTCACCGCATTACGCATTTGTCGTCAAGTTTATCACCACCAGGCCACAAACCCTGGTTGGCTCGGATTCAGTTCAACAAAAATCTTACTAAATTAATTCAAAATAAAGTTTGGTTCAGTACTCTGTTAGTTCAGTTTTAAAATTCATTTCAAAAAAATTTCGGTTAGATTTTGGTTTAAATTTTGGATAACTTTTTTTTTATTTTGCTTAGTTTGGTTAGTTGGGTTTCAAATTTATTAGTATGGTTAGTTCGGTTTAATTTTTTTTTGGTTTGGTTATATTTAAAAAAAAAAACTGAAGTAACTGAATGTCTAGAATATGTCTTGGCATTCGGGTCTTCGGGTGGCATTCAGATCGCTTTCTATCGTATTCGAGTCCTTTGGGTGTAGAAAAATCAGATTGAATAAGTACTTATGATTTAGTGAATATCTAGAATATGTCTTGTATTTGGGTCTTCGGGTGGGTTTGGATTGGTTCTATCGGATCCGGGTCTTGTGGGTGTAGAAAAATCGGATTCAATAAGTACTTATGATTTTTCGGTTAGGTTCAGATCGGTTCTTACCGGGGTTCAGGTCATTCGTGTCCGAAAATCAAAAATCTGTTGAAAAAACTATTAATTTCAGATAATGACTGGTAAGGTTTTAGGTTTTGGTTTTTTTTTTGTTTAGTTCTGGATTTTCGGATATCTTGTGTAGTAAAGCACTCTTCAGCAAATGATAACGTGACAAGTGTCATTTCTCCCTATGAAGAAAAAAGTGTATATTATATATAAGAAGATACTAGGGGTTTGCCGCCGCTACACGTCAGATTTTCTAATATTATATATTTATTCTGATACATAATTTAAATATATGATTTGGTTGTTAATACTCATTCTTTGTGTGTTTATAAAGTTAAAACAGTTTATTCATGGTATCTTAGACAATAAACTATTTATCAAAGATATGAAGATATATTAATTTGATTATCTTATTACCATAATTGATTTTAAGATGATTGCAAAGGAAAATCAAGTCTAAATATATATATATTTATATACATGATCATTTGTTTCATAAGAATATTTTGTTTTTTTATATGAAATCTGCTACATTTGAAAGACTTTTTTAATAATTAGATATGTTTTATATTCTTTTTATTAAATACTGATGAATAGTTGACAGCTTCATCTTAGTTATCTTACAGTTATCATTTCAAAATTAGAATGTGGATTTGTTTTGCTAAAAAAAATTTCTAATGGAGTCCAAACCAAGCAAATATTATTAAACATATTATAATCACATACTTAAATGAATTATTATACTTCAATATCATCAAGAGGAATGCATTAGAATGGATATGAAATTATGAAAGTACATTAGGCTTATTTAACTTTAAAATATATTATTTTTACAAAACATGGTCTAATATGCAAATATATGATGCATATTTTTCGTATATCATTGACAGAACATATAGTTTTGACTAGGGTAGGCACTTTACCCGATATCCGAACTCGTATCGGAACTCAATCTGAAATATCCGAACCGAAATCCGGACTGAAGTAGCAAATACTCGAATGGACATTGTGTTAGGAGAGTTTGGATATCCGAACCCGAACGAGTAATACCCAAATTCGAATGGATATCCGAAGATAACCAAACATATGTATATATACATATTTTACTAGGTGATTTTCCCGTGCTCATGCACGGGTATAAATATTTTTAAAGTAAATATATGATAATAATTGATTATTATTTAGTTTTAATTTTCAATTAATTTATAATTTGTATGTATCGTTTATATTAATAATATTATATTACTTAATATTATATTACTTTAATTATACTTTAATTTTATATATGTTATATCTAGTCGATTTTGTTGTTTTTACGGTTGATTTAGTTATCATTTGGATAAATTGGATTGCATCTCTGAATTCAATTGTAATATTTTAAAATATATTAATTTTTTATTAATTACATATTTGCATATAGTGGGTGTTGTCTTAGATATATAAATATATTTTAGTAAAATTATGTATAACTTAAGATATATTGGGTTAGAATAAATTAAATATTAACTAAAG